GATTGGTTTTTTTTTTTTTTTTTTTTTTTTTAGGTTAATAGATTTCTTCGTATTATGAGTTAGAAAATGTTGATCATCTGTCTTTTCTTGGTGAAGTTAAAATTACAGGCCTTATATAAAGAATGCCAATTTTTGAAGGGGCTGCTTTGTTTAAAGAGTTGGTGGGATCATTTAAAAGTGCATATTTCAAAACTCACGATTTCAGTTATTTTCAAAAGTGAAGAAAAAAATTACTCAGTTGTGCTATTATTTATGATGTTAGTGCCCCCTCCCCTATATTTTGGTTATAGGAAAAACCATGCTGCCCTTGACTTGATTCATGTGGAATTACACATTCCTATATTTTGAGGTTTGCCATTTTGCTCTATACATTCATTACTGGATTATCTGGTGGTCGGAAATAGTCGAAACTAGAGTTGTTATCAAATGCTCCAGTCACATTTATTTTTAATATAAAAAAATCATGTACTTTGAAATATGTCAAAACTTCTGATAATACACCTGAGTTTATAGTTATCTTTGAAGCCTCATTCATCTGTATAGTCAAGACCTAGGAAAGCTTTATATGTTCTTTTTACAGTTGTATTTTTGCAGTATCTCCCAGCTCCATTCACTCTTGCTTTATGGATTTAAAAAAATCTGCATATTTCTTGTACATATGCATGCAAATGAAAGAAGGGAGTTTGTATTGGTGCCATTTCTCCCTTCAGTTACTGATTAATGGGATTCGCTAGAATAAAGTCCCCCTGATTGAAGGGTGAAATAGACCCTTTGTGTATATCTGTATAGAGATGTGTATATGGGATGTGGTGGCACTTTGCTGAATGTGAACTTGCCTTGTCAATGGAAAGATTGAGAAGTATTATGTTTATTTATACATTTGTATAAATCTATATATACACGTATGTATATGTGTGTGTATAGATAAAGCTATATACATATATTTCCCTAAAAAAATGTGTGTGTGTAATAGAGAAACAGCCTTTGCTAAACCAAGATTATACACCTATGGAAAATTCTGGATTATGCTGTAAGCAGGAGGAGGTGGCAGTCGAGAGTCCATTATTAGAGCATATTAGGATGGAAGGGGTCCTTTGGATTATAGTCTTGTTTATGGTGATTATAACTGAATTTCTGTTAGAACTATTCTTACTTGCCAATTCCACTGTTCTTCATCTTCACTGTTTCAACATTTAAAACATGTCATTGTGATTTTTCTCCTTTATTGTGTCCTTCCTAGCCAGAAGCATTTGTCTTATGTGTGTTTCATTAACCTCTCGATTGTTTCTTTTAAAGATCTTTACCTCTGAAATTTCCCAGAAGTTACAAGTTTTGGTAATATTTTCTGTAGTAATTTTGAGAATCAGGTGTTCATCTTTGTCTCAAAAACAAACAAACCAAAATCAGAATTCAAACAAAACTGATTTAAGAATTTTACCTAGATAATTTTGGAACATTTTACTTAAAATTGAAAACAGAATTTGAGTTTATGATTGATATTAATGTTAGATTTATTTCCTCATTTAGTCTCATTAAAAATTTTATTTAACTTTGATTTGATCACAAATTCACCATTTTCATTTTAATGGAAAGCATAGAGAATCTCATGTAAGCCTCTTGGATTCTATAACTCATTTTACTCATGATGAAACTGGTTTAATGAATTCTTGTGTAATGCATTCTGCTATATTTCCTTTTGATTTTTCCCTCATTGGTGACATTGTTTTAACTTTGCTGCAGTTCTCTAGAAGACTTGCATCCCTATATATTGTGCCTTTAAAGCTCTTATGCACACACAGACAAAAGTGTATTTATACATGTTGGAGCATGTGTACATATACTTTCCCATATGCTCACACAGTATGTCTTTAGTACATATTGTGGGAGTGGATATATAGATATTCAAAGGCAATGCAATGTTGCTCTCTAGATATATATGTATATAAATCCTGTTGATATACTGTATATACACATGTATATGTATGAGTTTTAAATGGCAATCTTTTACATTTAGCAAAATGCTGCCCCTACTGGAATATTGTCACTGCGATGGCAGTTGTATGTAATGATTTAAAATACATTATCAAAAATTATTTAAAGAACATTTAAAATTCTCATCTAAAGACATCCACACGTTATTTATTTATCTTCTCCTTGTTTGTGTGTGTGTGCGTGCGTGTGTGTGTGTGTTTTAAATTGAAAGGGAGGCTGTAATTTTTAAGATGCCATCTGTCCCACGGGAGAAGGAGAGCTGGAGATTCGCTTGAGGGACCTTGTGCATTTTTCTTCTCTCTGATGAACCACAAACCAGCCTGTTTCAGTTACAAAGCAGTCCTAATATTTCCATTAGTGTATGTCATCCGCCCTCTCCTAGATCAACTTAATTCACCAATTTGCCTCTTCCTTTCATTAATAAATAATGATCATCCTGATCATTTTGCCTGGGGGAAGTTAACTACTCTCCTGCTGCAGGGAACTCTATCACCTAACTGTTATTCTGCCTTGTTCAAAAGTCAACTCTGAGGGAAGGCAGCCCTCTCGCAGAGCTGTCTTAAGCATGTTTTGCATTTATTTAGTTAAAGGTCTTCCCATTTTAATTATTTTTTTTTAAAGAGCTCCAAGTCTGCATGCACTTGACAGATTTAATTCTTACTCCCCATAGCTTCAAGTATTTTTCATTAGCATATCAATTTGACACACTGAATGACAGAATATTAAGAAAGAACTGTTAAATATTTTATTTTGTGATGAGTTGGCAGCAGATCACATTTTAAGACGTTACAGAGAGGAATGTAGATGGACAATCCTAAATGTAAGACGTTACAAAAAACAATGGCGTAAGAGTACCCCTGAAGACTAAAACGGAGAGGTTGGGGTTTGAGTGATTTCAGAGGAGCTTACCTGGAACTTGATATCAGAAGCAGCCTTTAACAAAAATCCTCTTGGCAATTGTGTGGTACTAACTAGAGTATTGAAGTGTAAGTTGAAACCAAGTTGCAGTGGGAAATCAAAGGTGAGGTAGCTTGTTTGAAAATGGTAAATGACAGACAGGTTGCACAGTTTAAAATCTCTCAACAAAGTAACTGCACGGTAGCAAGGACTAGCAGTTCTCAAAGCCCATCTTTTTCAGTGTTCTCATTCACCTTGACACCCAGTCCATACATTACAAATATTTACAAAAAAGAAAGTTGCTTAAAGGGAACTTACAAACTGAGAATCTTCTCTATTTGGGATAATAGTGGCTGGAAGCTTAGTTATATGCACAAAAGCTAGGAGCCACTCGGTTCTGCACAGACTGTAGAGCGAGATGAGATTGGCAGGTTTGGTAAGAGCCCCCTAGTTCTGAAGGAAAGGCATCTCTGTGGCATCGGGTGTGGTGTTGCTGGGGGAAACCACATTTTGGGAGGTGACAGGCTTCTGGTTTGTAATTTCCCTTTAAACAAGAAGAGACGGCTCACATTTTCCATATATATCTCAATGAATGTACTGTATTACTGTTTTAAAAATTTGATGAAATAATAATGGATTGGTCTCCTTTTGTTATCTGGTCCTTGTTTAATTTGTTTAAGGGTTTTTGTATACAAAAGTTTACATTTTTATGTATATTTTTCTTGTGTAAAAACTGATGTAATATGTGTATAAAACACTGTATGTATTATCTGTATATAGTGTGACAAAATGATTTTCTTTCTTTCTTTTGGATGTATTAATAAATCTTGCTGTGAAGTATCCTTGTTTTTGGTATAATTTCCTTTGCCTGGATATTGATGGAGGCTTCTAATCCAGGGTAGGTATTTTTCCCCTACTTTGTTATTTAATAAAGTAAATTTTTCTCTATATCTTATGTTTTATCAAGAACTCTAGGGAAATATATTTATGGTTCTCTATGGTTAGATTGACAGTGATTAATATTTGTAACAGCTGTGGATCAATTAAATGCTATCCAAGGTGATTTTGATGTGGTATCCAACCTTGAAATCCAACGAGAAGTTTCATTTAAAATTGTTACATGCTGCCCAGCCAGGCGTGGCTCAGTGATTGAGTATCGACCTAGGATCCAGGAGATCGCTGTTCTATTCCTGGTCAGGGCACATGCCTGGGTTGCAGGCTCGATCCCCTGTATGGGGCGTGCAGGAGGCAGC